TCTATGCCACATTCTAGCACAGTATCAGTAAAATCGTCGCAGGTTTTTTGTGCTTGCTCATGTTAAGCGGTGGCGTACTGTATTTTTTGGCCCATAAGTCATGGTTTTTTTTTTTTTGCATGCCCTGCGACTTGTACGCCGAAGCAACGTATTTATGGATTTTTTTCCCATATTTATAAACCAATTTTTGGCTGAGAGATGACCGTTTTCATTTATTCTGACTAAAAGTATTGAACACTACCATTTTCAGCCACTAGATGGCACTCGAGTAGTGTGCCATGCTGTTGTCATGTAATAGGTAAAAGTGGATATTACCGTATTTTCTGCCCTATGAGTCAGGTTTTTTGCATAATTTGCATGCTCCACGCCTTATAGGCCAAAGCGACATATTTATTTCCACTTTATTAGACATATTTGGACTGATGCGACTTACAGGGCGGTGCGACGTGTACGGTGGAAAATGCAGTACATTGTTTTACTCCAAAAGTGTATAAATTGTAGATGTACATCTAAGGATTACTTTGAGAGCTTCATGAACATCTGTCCAGTGGTTCATGAAGTATTTTGCTAACAGGCAGACAGACGAACGCATCTGCACACAAGCGGTTCCACGATATCCTGCCTTCTTTGGCAGCGAGCGCCAACAACAGGTTCTCTGTAAAGCTGTTGCAGAAAGTTATGTAATTCCCTCCTCCTTAATCACCCGTCCTCCTTCTAATTGTTGCCATGGTGACCGCACCATTGCTGCACCAACGCTCTTCGTCTTGCCTGCTGGTTTGCTCTCAGTGCCTCATTCGCCTCTCAGATCACTGCAGCACGAGATTTCTTTAAGCGAAAACAGTCTATCCTAACGTCTGTTAATTAGGAGTAAAACATATTTGACCTGTTAAAGCTGTTTTTTTGTATCACTTGTAAAATGATTTTAGTTTAGAAGCATAGCTGAGATAAATACCGGAGCTTGAGTGTTTGTTTGTCAGAGCTCTTTTATTTCAAGAGGAGTAAACGAGGTGAGCAGATAGCCATGTAAGGATGAGATAAGAGGATTTACGATCCAGTTTGTTTTGCCAGATCACAGCTACCTCTTGATTCTGATGCAACAACAGGCGTGTCTGTGTGTGCATGCACATGTGTTAAAAAACAAAAAAAAGGCTATTCTCCTTAAGAAGGGGAACGTCAAGGGCACCAAAAGTAAAATTTGATGCTGCTTTTGTGCAAAGCTTCAATTAAAATCATTAATGTAGCCTTTAAATATTAAGACAATGATGAAATTCTGGTAAACCAGTAGCATCACCACCAAGACTGTAAAATGGTTGATGGACTCTCCCGGTTAAGTGTTGAGAAGAGAGAAGCTACTGCTCAGGTGGAAAACACTGCTTTTATTTCCAGGCTCAAATCACAAGCTTCTATTTACAGTGTAGATTTATGTAGGTTACTTATTTATTTACTGCTGGTTTTTTATCATGCTAGGATGGTAGTAACCTTTTTATCAATCGGGCAAACGGGTGATAATTTGAACATTTTAATATTTGTGAAGTCTGCAATATTTACTTCCTTTAGTCAGTAAATCTGCAAATTAAAGGTGTAATGTTTATTACAATGTTTGCATTTGAGAGATTTATACAGCTAAGTTAAATAGAAGAAATATGGCTCTAAGATTAAAAACAAAAATGATTGACTTAGACTGAACCTACCGGTACATCCTCTTTAGTCTTTTAAAGGTTTAATGATGTTTTTGAGCTGCATAAAAGACAATAAGACACTTATGCAACTAACCAGTCATACACCAAGGCAACGCCTCACCTTAGGGTTGGATAACCGACACTGTCATCACTAAAGGTACATAATCTCAATATATTCCCCTACTGGCTGTTGAGAATTAAATGTGAGCCTATAATTAGGAGAAATAGGAAGCAAATTTAATTGGTTTCTTATTTATAAAATCATATATAGTCTCAAACGTTTAAGCAAATTATTGTCCGTGCAAATCTGTTTCTTTAAGAGATAACTATTTGTGATTTTAATAAACTATAAGTAACCTGTAAGGTTTTGTAGCTGGTACTTGTATTTAGACACCACGATGGCAGCATCGTCATGTTACTCATCTGGTGATTTGATTTTTTTTTTAACTTTTGTAGAGATAAACAAGAACATCCTCACCAGGTTTTGGATTTATTTCTTTTTTTGTTGCTGTTGCTCGAAGCCTTTACCGTATTTTCCACCGTACACTTCGCACCACTGTATGAGTTGCATCAGTCCAAAAATGTCTAATAAAGTGGGGAAAAAAACCATAAATGCATCGATTCACCGTATAAGTCGCATCTATTATGAGTCACCACTGACAAACCTGAAATGTGGCCGGTGTTGTGCCAAAAAATTGATTGGCTGCCAAATGGCGGCCACGGGAGCGTGCACTGGAGGACTTTAGCAAGAATTTAACAAGATTAGCACTTAAAAACAATTATTTGTTTGTTCGACATTATAGTAAAGGTGTGTTTCAGTTGAACTTTTCCTTAATAAATTCACTTTAATGGTCAAATCAGCTGCATTTCGTCTGGGCGACGTGGTGAAATGCAGCTGATTTAACGTTTGCTCCAGCAGGTCCTGAGAGAGACGACGGTGGTTGTATGGCAAGCCAAGTGTCTCATTAATAGCCACTTTAACTATTAATGAGACACTTGGCCTGCCGTATTAGTTGAGGGCCCTCTAGTGGCTGAAAATGGTAGTGTTCAATATTTTCAATGTAAGAATGAATGAAATCGTCAGATCTCAGCCAAAAATTGGATTATAAATATGGGAAAAAAACATATATTAGTTGCTTCAGTGTATAAGTTGCAGGCATGTTAATTTATGCAAGAAACTATGACTTATACACGGGAACATACGGTACATGTGATGGAAGCTGGCATTTCATCAGTGAAACTTTGGGAAGTCTAAATTAATCGTCTGTGACAAATACATTGAAAACCTTTTGGATTAAAATAGGCCAAAACTTTTTTTTAAGTTGTTTTCGTTCCAGAACTAAACTAAGCACTGAGCGAGCATGCGTTGTTTTTTCTGCATACTTAAGCTAACAAAGTCACGAGCCAGTTTACAGAGAGTGTCTTGTTTTCCTAAAGAGTATTAGGAAGACGTATTTTTATCAAGAAAAAGCCTGAAAGAATCTTCCAGCTTACGGTCTTGAATATATTGTTTTCTAATTCTCTATGTGACTCTTTGGTTGATACTTGAAGCAATCTGTGGAAAAAAATGTAACCCACCCCCGCTCTAAACTGAAATGCAGACACCTTTTCTGCTTCGGTCTCTTCATGTTCCTTCTTCCTCGTCTTTGCCATTTCTCCTCTTTCCTTCAATCTTTAATGAGTTCTCATTAAAGATTAAGACTTTCCACTGGCTAACGTGCAGGGTGACCCACACTCGATGCCTTGGAGACACTCACGAGCGCTGAAATCTGCTGAGGTCACGTCACTCAACGTTCCCACGTCTCTGAAACTCTTTGAATTAAACAGAAATGACCTCGACAGGGTGAAGTTTTGCTTTCTCAGTCATCGTCTTCAGCTGTATTACGTCTGTTTTGAATCTTTTTCACATTAAACTCAGGCGGAAGTCGTCTCGTCAGATTTCCATTAGTGCACATTTTCCACTCCACTGGATACTTACACTCTCTGCATGTAAAATATTCACCTCCCTGGTTCACGAGACACACACAGGCAGGACTGAGATCAGCTTCACGGCTTCTCAACTCGAATACAAACAAAAAATGAATAAACAAGAAGATTTAAAGGGGATAAACGGTGAATAAAGCCATTAAATCTAGACGTTCTCTAAACAAATTGAAAAACCTGTTGAGGCAAAACTCTTGGTAACCCACTGATCCAACATTCCTACAAAACATCCAGTTCCATTAATGAAGTTAAATATTATATATTAGTCCTGAAATTGTACGTTACTTATTTCATGTTTAAAAGTACTAACTTTGAATATTCTTTTCTTATCTGTGGTCACTGCTCGTAGTTTAGTCAGGTCAGTAGATAATTTTAAAATTTTATTTTTTATTACGTGGTTCCCAGAGTTTGGTTCAAGATCCCACTGTGGGTCACGAAACACCAAGTGGGAATCCTTAGACAAAAGCATCTTTTCACCACAGTACTTAAAAATATTACAAATAGTAGTTTGAAATAAAACATAACGTATTTACAATAAAACACTGAGTTGTCATTATGGGTAATAAGGTTTTTAGCAACGTTTGTGTATTAAAACCATTACAGTAGTCCCTCGTTTATCACGATTAGTCCCTCGTTTATCACGTTCTCAGCTCCTCCGTGATAAGTACAAACCTGCGAAGTAGTAGTACAAGTAGTAAGTAGTATTTTATTTTAGTATATATAAAGACGTTTTAAACCCTCCCCCCACTCTTGCAATATTCTAAACAATGTTTCTAAACGCTCTAAAAGAGCACAGCATGTCATGATCTCCACTCTCTGCCACCGGCTGCACGCTGCCAGCGCTCTCGGCCACGCCCACTTCTCCGCTGCAGAGGAGATGACACGCTGCAGGAGGAAGCTTCTCCCTGCACATGTGAGCGGCACACAGGTGCTGGATAATTTAAGATGCATTTATTTAAAATAAACAATCCATGCTGATCGTGTGGCTCATCCATCAATCAGCCTATTGTGCGTCATGTCCAATCTTATTTAGAACAACCGAACCGCAAAGTAGCGAGGTACGACCGTATTATTATTTTGTGGGTCAGTAAGCAAAACATTTGGGACCCACTGAACGTGGATCAGGTCTGTGTCCTCGGTCCATTCTGAGTGTTCACTTTGAACATGTGGGAGGAAATAAAATGATTTGTTTTACTTTTTATAAAGTTTGACTGCTCCTTTCTGCAGCAGCACGATAGTTGCCGTTTAGGGCTAAAGCTTTTAGGTTAATTTGAGTTACTGCATTTTTTCTCTTTCCGAATTCATAGTTATTGTTCTTTTTTTATTTACTTATTTCAGATTGGCGCCTACGATCAGCAGATATGGGAGAAATCTGTGGAGCAAAGAGAAATAAAGGTCTGTTGGTTTCTTGTTTCTCTCGTTCTTTGACGTTTTTCTACTTCTCTTTACCTCCCATCACTATTTTATCCCTTCTCCTTCACTTCATCTTTGTTTGAATCAGTTTGTTTCCATCCAGTTGTTTTCTTTTAACTCTTTGCTCTCTGAGTTGGGGGGGGGGGGTCACCTGCCCATTTCACCTCTCTTGTTCGTCTTTCCCTCCTCCTCCTCTCTACAGTTTATTTCTCTGGTGAGTATGCAGCAGGGAGGTTCATCCTCTTGTTTTCCCACAGTGCACGTGTGCTCACCCATGCTGTAGACGCCTAGAATGTGGTTGGTTTGACGTTAGTCGTGTTTACTAACCCCGCACTGGTTGCACAATGCTGCAGCTCCGTCGTGTTAGAACCGGCTGCAGGAAAATGAAACATCAGCCGAACTTCGTGTTGAGGGAACGGAGTTGTCTGGGTGTGAGCGCAGCATGAGTCAAGGTGGCGCTGAGCAGTTCATCTAGAAAAATACAGACTTCTTATGGGTTTATCAGAGCTGCTTGAATAAGACTTTATTTGGCAACGTGCACCAGGATTGTGTTGCTGTCCAAGCTGCAGCAATTGACATGAAATGAACTGAACAGTACTTGAGTACAAACTGCATCATGATCTAATGTGAAGGGCTTAAATTAAAGATGGACAGAGGAATGGTTCTGTTAATGCATCCAGATAAAATCATTAGTTTGCTGCGCTTACCTTAAACTTACACTTTAAGCTAGGAGGCTTTTTAGTTGCAAATAGTAGCGACAAAGGTTGTGTGTTTAGAGAGCCTCGCCTCTACTTCAGTCCTTCTCTTTTCCTTAAACGGTGCCAAATGATTCTTTAAACAGCGAGGTCAGAAACGTTGATGAACTCCTACCTGCTCCGCTCCAGTAAAACGTTTCTCTGCAGATTATCAGGACTGCGATGATAAGAGGAGTGTGTCCCCCTCACATCTTTCTCTTTATGGGCTCATAAATCCTAAAACTATCACTCATAACAAAACAACTGTGTCATTTTACCGTAGCTTTATCTTTGGCACTTCCCACCAACTCTTTTATAATCGCATACCTGAATATTAGAAAAGTATTTTTACTGCAGTCATGTTGCCTAATGACATTTTTGTTTTAATTATTTAGATTCATAATCGGCAATAAAAATAAAAACAGGAAGGACAATATTTTGTTTCAGAAACAGAAAACATGTTGAGATTTTTCAAACTAATGCAACATGTGATCCTGTAAAAACATTAGTATTTATCTTATGTTAGGAATGAGATAAACCTTATATAAAAACAAATCTGTGGTTCAGTTCTTTAGATGTGTAAAGGTGAGATTTTAGTAATTAAGAGAATACTGAGTAAAAAAAGTTTAATTAAAGGTACTCATTGCAAAGTATGGAATCAATAGAAAACGCCATGATTTTGTATTTTTATTTACAAATATTGCAATTTGTTCAGGTTTGGAGTCTGAGAAGTGTGGTATTAATGATGATATATATATGACAAAACTATATATATATATATATATATATATATATATATAT